AAAAAAAAAAAAAAAAAACACAGAGCAAAGAGTCACAAGTTTTGTTGAGGAATTCAAATCTTATGGGCGAGGTATTGGGTGCATAGACAACAGCCCAATGCAAAATGGACTCACTGACCAGGTTCAAATTGTTGAAAAGCTAGATGAAAGCTAGATGAAAGCTCGATGAAAACTAGATGGAAGCTCGATGAAAACTCGATGAAAGCTCAACGGAACTGTCCGCCACATTCAAGTTTTGTACGTGGAGTTGCGCTTAGGGAACACACGCACACACATACATAGACGATGCATGAAGGGAGGGAGGGAGGGGAGAGGGAGGGAGGGAGGAGGGGAGAGGGAGGGAGGGAAGGGAGGAGGGATTGAGGAGGGCAGAGAGGGAAGGAGAAACGAGTGCCGCTCGGGGAAGAGGTTAAGGCGAGAGGTAAGCAGCGCTTACCTGTATGGACAGAGGCCTGGTCGAGATCGCGCTAGAAGCAGCAGCTCCTCCTCCTCCTCCTCCTCCTCCTGCTGCTGCTGAACGTGTAATGCCGGCTGGCGTCGAGCTGTCTGCGCCAGCGCACCACGTGGACGTCGGGACGGCGGCTGCCGTCGAAGCAACCGCCTGCATCGGGACTGCCTAGTCGGTTGCCGCGGGAAAAATGGTAACGGGAAGGACCGGGATCCCAGCCTCTCCACTCCCACTCTCTCTCTCTCTCCCCCCTGCTTCTTCCCTCCTCCCGTTAGTAGCAAACGCCCCCCCTCTTTCCGTTAGTGGCAAACGGCGGCGGCGGCGGCGGCGGCGGCGGAAAACGGCGGCGGAAAACGGCGGAGGCGGCGGGGGAGGAGGGGGAAGCGGCGGCCGTCTTTCCGTTATCTGAGAGAGAGAGATTCCCTCATGCTTTTGCTTTTGCGTTACAGTATTACTGATGATGGATGAGCGTTTTTCCCGCCAAAAATTAGTTCGACCACTTCAAGCGCCGAGAAATCAACCACACTCTCCCCTCCTCCCCCTCCCCCTCCCCCTCTCCTCTCCTCTCCCTCGCAACCACGCTGGAAGGCGGGAAATTACTCCCTCCCCGTCTCTGCGCTTGAATTTGGCGGGAAAGTTGCCGCCCTTGCGTCCGTTTCCCGCCTTCCCGCCGGGGACCGTCGGCAGCGTAATGCCGTCAAGCTCGTTGATTACTCTTACTCGTCGTATTGTCCACGTCAGCAGCCACGTGGAGTGGAGATCTCAGATAGGAGAGGTGGGTGGTATGGGTGGTGGGTGGTATGATTCATGTCATGGCACCGCCGGGCAGCGAGCCTGCGCTTACTCAGTTGTCGATTTGCGAGGGTATCACTGCCTTCCCGCTGGGAGAGAACCCACAGAGGGCGAGGTAGGAAAGGTGGGTGGTAAGGGGCCCAGGAGGAAAAGGAGGGTGTGGGGGGGGGGGGGGGGG